TCCTGGAAATGTGTGGCTTCCCCTGACTCTCTCCACATAACATCAAAGATTTAAATTATTTCAGTTTAAAAACAAATTGAAACATGTAGGAACAACATTCTCTAGTGTCTTCAAGGGACTTTGACACCTCAGTCAGGACCTACCATGTTGCAGGAATCATTAGATCCCCCAGTCCCAAGGTGTGATCATAAAACAGTACAGAAGTGCGACCCAGAGCATGGTCAGAGACAAGAACCTCAGCAGAGCTGGTGTGGGAGAGAAGGAGGGAAGACATGAAGGCAGTGGCAGAGGTTAGAGGTATCCAGGAAATAGAGGCAAGGACAAGGAAGACGTTAGGCTTGAAGGGCCCCAAAAGGACCCAGGAGCAGGACACAGCTTGAGGAAGAAACTGGAGACCCCCCAAAAAGCAGCACTTTGGTTGGGTATCTGACCCAGATCTCCCCAAGACAGTGCTGCATCCAACCCCACCAGGAAGGGAAGAGAAAAGGTCCAAACACAGAATTGGGAAATAAAGAGGATGAACTTACATTTCACTTAAATTAAATAAATTATCAAATATTCCATCTTCTAATGTAGAAATCTGGTTGTGGCTTATATCTCTGTAAGAGAGGGAAAAGGAAAGTTCATCAATAGCAATTTTCTGGTCACTGCAGCTTTATCATTTCCCTGTGAGGTGCTGAGGCACTGGCACAGGTTGCCCAGAGAAGCTGTGGCTGTTCCATGCCTGGAAGTGTTCCAGGCCAGACAGGATGAGGATTGGAGCAACCTGAGCCAGTGGAAGGTGTCCCTGCCCATGGCAGGGGATGGAATGAGATGGTCCTTGAGGACCTTCCTAATCCATTCCACAATTCACTGATTCTCCATGCACTAACAAACACCTTGTGATAATTCTCACTCTCTTGATTCAATCTCCTCTCTATCCAGCAGAGCAGAGGTCAAATCCTGCCCAGCCTTGAATGCCAGTAAGCAAATCACTGGACTGAGCAGCCAAAAAGCTTGAGGGAGGAGGCCATGGACACGTCTGTGTGGGGTCAGCAGATGAGACCCAGCAAGAACAAGGCTAACTTGTGCCACACCAGTGGTGTGTTAGGTCCCAGCTCAATCATGCATGATGAGCTGGAGGCCTGGGAGGGTGCAGGAGTACTTACAGCTTTGCCAGTGAAGTCAGGTCTCTGAAGAGCTGAGCATCTAGACCACTGATCTTGTTGTTGGAAAGATCCCTAGAGAAAGAAAACACCATTTTCAGCCCCCATTCAACTTCATTTTGTCACACCTCCATTCCCAGACCCTAGGAGAGCCTCTCTCCAAACTCCATCCAGGATCCTGACTTGAAGGGGTTGGTTGTTGAAGCAGAGCATTTCTCCAGCCAAAGAAAACACCTTTCCAATCCATAAAGCATTTGCTGCTCATGTAACATGCAGATCGAGATCAAGTCTCATTATATTCCCCACTCTGCAGCACACCTGAAGCACTTACAGCCATGGCAAATGTACTACAAGTGATGCCTCCTTTTAAAGTATATTTAAGTCTATTAGATGTGCAAAGAAGTCATTAAGAAATAATTTTGTCTGAAGTAGCAATTAACTTAGAGACAAATTTATGAGGAACTTCCAAGTGAGTTTCTCCCACCAAAGCCTTGATCAGTAATTACACAACTGATGCATCAACTCCACGTTTCCAACAGCTTTTTCTCTCTCTTTAGAAAAGATTAAAAGGAAGAAGAAAGAAGGAATATTTTCCATCTGAAGTCAGGATAGGTCGTCCTTCTAACAGGAACACTGACTGAAAACCCTCCAGTTGCTCCCACTAACACTAAGAGCCTCCAGCTCACCCAAACCAAACTGCCCCTGCACAGGCCAAACTCCCCCAACCATCCTCTGGGCCAGTTTTAAATGTCACTCAGGGAAGGAGTGAAAGTTTCACTGGTGAGTCTCCACTTCTTCCCAATAAACTTCACTCTTTGGTTTCACACAAATCTCCTTTGGCCTAAATTTATTCCAAGCCCGTGTGATGGTTCTGATCCTTCACGGATGTCTGGCAGAACACCCAAAGCTGTTCCCTCATACCTCCTCCTTTCTCACCTTTCCTCCTGCAGGCACCTCCCTCATCTCTCCCTGCTGTCTCCCTCTTATTTTAACCCCTTAACCAATTAAATCTTTGTTTGATCTGACATTTAAACTTCATTTATCCAAATGAAACTCATTCTGCCAAACTGGCAGGAAAACGACGTGCGATTCCAGGAAACTCTGGGGATAAGTACCGGGGATGGTTGTCTTCTGAAAAGGTTTATTTTCCCTGATTTTGCTGTCTGGGAGTTCTTTGCCAAGCTAAGAGTGGATTCAGAAGAGTTCACCAGCAACACCAATGCAGAAATACAAGAAATGTGCAAAATAGAAGCTCAGCTTAACACTTAAAAACCAGATGACAGCAAAGCTATCAGTGAGCTTTGGTCTCGAGGCAGCTGGGACAACACTGGAGGAGCACAGAACAGCCTTTGTTGAGGTGACACCGACCACCTACAACTCACGTTCTGCACAGGGGACATCAAAGCCACCTCTAAACCCTTCTGGAAGACAAGCACAAGACAGCCCATCCTGGAATCCCAAATCCCATCTCCTGCCAGCCAGGAATGACCTTCCTTGGGAGGCTCTAGCTCCACTTCTCCTCCAGTATTTTCTGTACATTGTACCCCTCTGCCCCTTCCTGCATTACCTGACCTGTTTTGGCAAGGACCAGACCACCAACCAGCTACAGGGAGATCAGGACAAATATTTCCCTTCTCCTCTGGAATACCTGGAAACCACCCATTTAGTTTTCAGTCAGCATCTCAAGCCCAAGAGTGAAGGAAATGATGTTTCAGCTCAGATGCCTCCTTGCTCCTTGCCCAGACAAGCAAAACCTCCAAAACAAACTTTTTAGCTGCTACAAAAACAGGGGTTTGCCATCTCCAAGAGCCTCTCCCAAGGTGCTGCTTGGCTGCAGAGAGTATGGGGCAGGGAGAAGCTCTCGCCCTCAGACATGGCACAAGCAGGCAAAGAGGCACTGAGCCTTGGGGCACTCAGCCCCAAGCCTGCTCTGCAACTTTGTCTCTCCCACCCTGCTGCCTCCCACGTGGGAAGTGAAGGGCTCCAGCAGTGCAGGTGTGCTCTGCTCCATCCCTCTCCCACGGTGCCAGGCAGGGAGGGTTGGTCCTGCACCTTCCTCAGGTCTTTACAAACATCCCTTATCATTATTTCTATTCCACCTCAGGAAATTCCTAAACTTCAGATAAGAGAAGGGAAATTACTTCATAGAAAGGGCTGTCGAGTCCTGGTACAGCTGCCCAGGGCAGTGGTGGAATCGCCATCTCTGCAGGGATTTAACAGCCATGTGAATGTGGCACTTTGGGACAGGGTTAGTGGTGGCCTTGGCAGTGCTGGGGGAATGGTTGGACTTGATTTTTGAGGCCTTTTCCAACCTAAACGATTCCAAGACTCTGTGATTCCTCCCCCAGGGATGGCAGTGCCCTGGCAGCTGCTCCAAGAAGAGGCACAGAGGCAGAGCTGCTTCCACCAGCCCCTGCAAAGAGGCAGAGTGTAGACACAGGCAGTAACTCTCCTCTCAGCGCTACTCTCAGAGTCCAACTGACACTAGATGTCACTGTCACTGCCCACACTGGCACTGTCATCGCCTGCAGGAAGCTCCTGGTTACCAGGAGGGATCCAGAGGAGAATTAACACACTGGATGCCCAAAGGTTTTGTTCAGGAAGGGCCAGGAGGTGTCCCCCTTAAACTAGTAAGTGACAACCCTCAAGCTCAGACTTCCTCAGGGGACTGTGTTGCTTTGCAGAGTCAGGACAGCTCCTGAGGGTGTCAGCTCACTCAGACACCTGTCAGCACTGTTGTGTCTCATGGCATCACAGTGGAAGGGCTGGAGAGAGCTCCAGTGCCTTGCTCTCCTCATCTTCTGTCAGCACACCTTGGGTGCCACCCTGCACACTCCAACACCCAGCTGATGCCACAAAGTATTACCACCTGAGCTCACCCATCTACCCTGCACCCACCACTGTCACCCAAAGCCAACACCAACCCACGGCCCAGGGCACAGAGATGCTCCACCAGTGGGATGCAGAGGTGCACGTCAGGGCTCAGCTCCAGAGGCTGCAGATGCTCAGAATCCTTGGAGGCTCATCGACCCAAGTTCTGTTCATACCCTGATGCTTTGTCACCTCACTTGTGTGCTTTCCAAGGGATCCTAAGTCCTTGGTTTCCACCCTCTGTCTCCTGCCCAGGATCCACAGATGCTGCTGAACTCCATCTAGGCCAGGCACCAACTGCTATCCAGCAGTACCTACAAACCAGAGCCAATTCCTTTGCTATTTCCTTGAGGAACTGGTATAAAATGTCCCAACATTCACCCTCCTCAACCTTCTCAGCGCTGAGCTACAAGGGAAGCAGAGCTGCTGTTGACAGGACAGCTGCGAGAAGCAAGGAATGGTGGTGGATCCAGTGCCTGCCACCTGCAGCCACAAGTCCTGGAGGTGAGTTCAGATGCCTTCTCCCACTGCTCCCTCTCCAGCTTGTATGGAAAATCATAGCATGCCTTCCTGGCATGGGAAAGGTGGCTGTGAACCAAGTTGGGCTGCAGGGAAAAAAACCAAACCAGGAAATCCTGAGCAGTAGAAGCCAAGGCAAAGGCTGTGGGACAGACTCAGCCTTGCGGTGCCACAGACTGCCACAACTGGATTTTCCCAGCACACTGCCAGGCTGGAGGAAATTCGGAGCAGGTTCAAAGCAGGGCTGAAGCCAGAGGCAAACAAGGCTCCATTGACATGCTCTGAGCACAGCCTGCTGTCCTCCCCACCAGGAGAAAGGAAAATTTAGCTCCCTGTGTCTCGCAGGATATAGAGAACACACAGTGATGCCTGGAAAACTCTACAAGTCACTACTTCTCAGTCCTGCCTCAGTTTCCACACCTGTAAACTGGAGCTATGCAGTGCCAGAGGAGGCTGGGAGGCTTCTCCATGTTCTGTGGGACACGGGGCACCAAAAACTACCAACAACTATGGCACAGAACAAGAGCTCCCCTTGCAGCTCCCCAACCACCCCAGCAAACAGCCACACTTCACCCACCAGCCTAGCAAAGGGAGGGTTTAAAACACTCCTGGAAAAGGAGTTGGTTCTGTGAGGAAGGTGAAACTTTGGATAAGGGAACACTTAGCAATGAGGGTGTCAAATGGAGCCTTGGGAGCCTTCAGCTCCACCCCAGCCCTGCTGCCACCTCTCTGTGTGATGCTGGGTGCATCACTGAGCCTGTGCGCCCCAGGAACAATCACAGTCCATCTCAGCACGAGGATGAGGATGGATCCATCACAGCCAGCATCAGCCTGACCTCCTGCTGATGGGCTCATGGCACTTCTGGGGGTACAAGGCACAGTCACACAGCTGCTGGCCTCCAGCAGCCAACAGAAGGGAGCATGGTGCCACCCTCTCTGCCCCTCTGTGATGCTCAGCCAACCTCAGGCCCTGCAGAGCCCAGCCCAGGGATGTTCTGCAGTGCTGTAGTGGACAGGCTCTTTTGGTGCACATGTTTTTTGCTCCTTGATTCCACGGAACACATAGTGTTCACAGAGTATGGCTGGCCCTGCTGCCAAGCCTGATGTCATGCTCTCATTATGTCATTTGTGGGCCCTCTCTGCCACCATCTCACAGAAAGGGAGGGGAGGGAGGGGGCAGTGATGGTCTGTGCCTTCCACAGCCCTTTTGGTGCATGGAGCTCAGCCAGAACAGTAGTGGGAAAAGCATCCACAGAGAGAGAAGTGACTGAGTAGAGAGGACACTGAGTGCAGGCTGGGGCAGGCACAGGCACCTCACAGAAGTGAGGAGAGAAGCTCCAGGTCTGTAAGCCGTGATCAAAGCTAAGATTTGGGGCAGTGAAGCTCCGGTGGTGCCGGGGAAAGAGCTCCCAGCAATGCTTCCATTTCTCCCCCCAATAGCCAAGCTGTGGCTGCCCCATCCCTGGGAGTGTTCCAGGCCAGGCTGGATGGAGCTAGGAGCAACCTGGGCTAGTGGAAGGTGTCCCTGCCCACGGCAGGGAGTGGAATGGGAAGAGCTGTAAGTTCCTTCCAACCCAAACTGTTCCAGGATTCTATAAAAAGCCATTTCACACCCTGCAACCAGCAAGGACAAGTGACAGAGGGACATGTGAGGTGACCGGTGAGACACAAGGAAGGTCACTGCT